TTCGAGAACCGAAGCAATGAAACCCAATAGGAAATAATGGAAACTGGATTAATTCGTTCCAAGCCCCAGAAAATGCCTATTTACTGGCCTAATTTGTATATAATATGTAGAAAAACATAAGTCTCAACAAGAAATAAAAGTGTACAGTATGTCTAAGGGTTAAATTCAGTGTAAAGCGTGACTCTCTCCACAAAGCGTGACTCTCTCTCTGCACTCACACTGATGACGCAAGCAAGGCGCGCTGGGCCGAATGAACGCCATTCGGCTCAACTCGACTCATCTCGGAAGTTCGAGTTCCAAATATTTGTTCGGATTCCAAGACAAAAGTTTCTCGAATCTCCTGGTCGAATACCGATTTGGTCGAAATCCGAGGCATTCGAGAACCGAGGTATCACTGTTACTATTGAACCCTTCTAAGGTATTTTTTATAACAAGGATATTATTATTTATTTCCTTTTGATTTTTATGCATAGCTTCTACATTTTTTTTTTTTTTAATCCTCACCCGAGGACATTTTTTCCATTTTTTTGTTCAGGTAGAGTGGGAGGGAGGGTGGGAGGGGGAGAAGGAGAGAGAGGAGAGAGAGAGAGAGAGAGAGAGAGAGACATCGATGTGAAAGGGGCACATCGAGTGGCCACCACCCGCACGACCAACCAGGGCCGGGGACAAACTGCAACCGAGGTACATGTCCTTAGCGGGAACCGAACCCGGGTCTCTCAGGACCGCAGGTCGGCGCTCTAACCACTGAGCAAAACCCGCCAGGGCTCTACCTTTTTTTCAAAGCTGTAGTAGTTCTTATTAAGTTGCTTGTAGTTTTCACCAAATTGTTAAGCATGTTTATGATCATTGCTTTGAATTTTTTTTTTTTTTTTTTATCCTCACCCGAGGACATTTTTCCGTTTTTTTTGTTCAGGTAGAGTGGGAGGGAGAGAGAGGAACAGAGAGAGAGAGAGAAACATCGATGTTAAAGGAACACATCGAGTGGCTGCCACCCGCACAACCGACCAGGGCCGGGGACAAACTGCAACCGAGGTACATGCCCTTAGCGGGAACCGAACCCGGGTCTCTCAGGACCGCAGGCCGACGCTCTAACCGCTGAGCCAAACTGGGCAGGGCCATTGCTTTGAATTTTTAATCTGACAAGTTTCTTTCTTCTAGTTCCTGTAGTTCTTTTTGTGGTGATTAGTTGTTTTTGTTTTTTTTTCCATTTGGGTGTTTTTTCTTTTTTTCACCATTTTAGCAATCTGGCAGTTCTAAGCCCAATGAGGGATGTTGTAGTATGTAGGCAGGTTGGTGTGTATCAAGTAAGGATGTTGTGCCACCCAGCCTATTTTGATGTATGGCACCTCTTACCTGCTGTGGGTCTTGGAAGATTGACACCTGGACACTAGTATTGGTCTGTTATGCAGATCTTGACTCCCTGAAAGTTGCTGCTGCTTGGGCTGTGGCACCGTTCCTGATCAGCTTCTGGTGATGCTGCTGGGAATCAATCTCATCTGTTAATATGTGCTGTTGCTGCTTGGGATGCATAGGTCCAGGTACTGTGCTTCTGGGGTGCTTGGGTTCTGCTGGTATGTTGCTTGGGTGTGTTCTCATAATATGTTTGGTATTAGGTTCCACTGGCATCCTGCTGGGTTCATGGGTCCCTCTGGTATCCTGCTAGGGTTCCTGGGCCCCTCTGGTATCCTCCTGGGGTTTGTGGGTTCCACTACTGCCCTACTGGGCTTCATTAATCCTTCTGATGCACTGCTGGGGTGCATAGGTCCTGCTTATGTGTTGTTGGGTTACTCTCCTGCCTGGTGGGGTTCAGTTCCTGATCAGTCACTTCTGGGGGCTAGTGTTAGCTCCCAGTTTGCACTGCTACTGCTGCTGCTGTTGCCAGTGGGTGTTCTCAGGTCCCAGTCATTTACTGCTGTTGAGGGCTGAGGATGCTCCACACCTGGGACATGCTGCTGCTCAGGGTTGGAGCTCTATTCCAACTCCACTTCTGCAGTTGTCAAAGGCAGGTCTCAGCTGCCCTAGCCCTGCTGCTTGGGCTGGGGCACTGCTCCTGATCAGCCTTTGCTGATGCTACTGGAGATGCATTGCAGCTGCCAATTTGAGCTGCCTATTGGGGGTGGGGCTCTACTCCCACCCAGACACTTGTTGTTGGGGGCAATGCCGGGTTCCCAAGCTGGTGCTAGTGCCGTGAGCCTCAGTGAGCTGGTCAGCAAACCAGCACTGCTGTTGGGAGTGGGGCTTCAGCTCCTGGCCACTTTTAGCTACTGCAGCAGACACCTTTATAGCACTGCTACTTTGCCCTGACCATGTTGACATAGCTGAGTTCACTGGACCAATGGTACAAGGCACTCTGGTGGACTCAGATCACTTGGCCCTAGCCACTCTCTGTTTCCTCTTCCCGGGGAAGACCCAGGATCTTCCAAAATGGTGTAGCATCCTGGCCACTCGGGAAATTTTGCTGATGTGCCAGGACATCCAACCGTGGTAGCTGGCTGCTTTCCTTCCACAGCATAGGAACCTTCTGCCCCATGTTCTGTCTTCCTGTTTTCTATTTTTTGTTTGTTTGTTTGTTTTTCAATCTTTTATTGAGTGACTTTGTGTCTACCCTGCCTTCTAATTTGCTCTTCCAGTCCTTGGCTTCCTCTACTTTGCTGGTTATTCCTTCCAATGTGTTCTTTATTTTTGCTGTCATTCTTCATTTCTATTTGGTGGTTTTTTATTTCCAGTTGATTGATTTTCATTGTTTCTATATCTTTACTCATGCTGTTTAGCTTTCTCATAATCATTACTCTGAACTCTAGCTCTGATAATGTGCTAATTTCATTTCATTTATCCCTTCTTTTATATAATTCTCTTCTTCTTTTATTTTGAATTTGTTTCTTTGTTTCACCATTTTGACTGTCTCAGCAGGTTTTGGAGCCTGTCAAATCTTACATGAGCATGTCAGTGTTCCATTGATTGTGGCTCCCTCTACTGGGTTTGCATGAGTATGGAAGGGACTATGTTAAACACCAATGTCTAGTCTTACTTTCCAGTGTAGAGTTGCAGGCCAAGCAGAGATTCAATTATCCCACTGCTTTTGCCTTCATGGTGACTTTTAGTCTCTGTTACTTAATGAGCCTCAGGTTGTAGCCCTCAGCTGAATGAAAAATGCCTGAGGTGGACAGGTCAATTGTTTTCCCCTGTGTTATTTATAACTCTTCAGGAAGTTATTTTTCCAGTGTGGGTTATTGGCTCAGTACAGGGTTCCCAGCCTCAGCCTTCAGAGCTCAGTCCACAGAGCCAGGACATCCAACACTGAGGGTCAGTCCCAAGGCTCAAAGCCTTCAGGTACTCATCCCTGCCTACTGAGTTTATTGAAGTCTTTGGCTGTTAATGAGCCTTACATTGCACTTCTCTGGGCAATGTGATGTTAAATTCTTGAGGGAGGGGCAGCTGCTTCTCTCCAAGGCTAAAACCACTCTGATGGGGCTACTTGACACAGATGGCTACTGAAACATGGAAGCATAGGATCTCAGGCCTCTGCCTTCACAGCTCAGTTCCCAGAGCCACAGTCCCCAATACTGAGAGCCAGCACTGAAGCCCAAAGCCTTCAGAAGCTTTTCTCTGCCCATTGGCTAGCAGGTAGTGTCTAGCTGTTAATGAGCCTCAGGTTGCACTTTTCCAGGCTGGGTGGTTTTAAATTCCTAAAGGTGGATCAGCTGCTTCTCCCTCAGTCTACAGCCACTCTGGGAAGGGGCTCTTTGAGGAAAATGGCTACTGTTCTTTGGGGGAGTGACTCAGCATAGAGCTCCTGATGATCTCCTTCCCAGCTCCTCATTTGCACAAACCCCTGATTCTCTTCACACAGTTTCAGTCCAGTCTGCACTCCCTCTGCTGGAACTCAAGGTGAGTGGCTACAGCTGTAATTTAGTGTACTGGCTCTTCAGGGAAGTGCTGGTGTTTCCTGTGTCCATCACCAATGGACAAAACCTCTTCTGTGGTTATTTTCTCAGCCAGATGTTATGTGGGCACCTTTCTTTGTTCCACTACCTTTGTGCTGGGGAGCAAGCCTGGGGTTTTAACCCTCTACTTCTTAGAGGGAACTGCTCACAACTAATACAACCCTCAGCTGCTGCCTATGGGCACCCAGACAGCCCTCTTGTGACTCAGCAGCTTCTACTTGTCTCGATTTGTGGTCCTGTTTATTTCCCTGGTTATAAGTGTTCTCTCCAGCTGTTCTTCAGTTGTTTTTCCAGATGACATGTTTTTATTTTAGTTGTAAGTCTGTATAACTTCCATTCACTCTGCTGCCATGTTGGATCTCCTTGTCATTTATTTTCTAAATATGTGTGGGATGTTATTCTAAACCCTTTCTTCTTTGGTTGTGTGTGTTTTAGTCATGAACCTGGAAGATTCCATCTCTATTGCAGATTTACAGTCTTATTTTCCCTGTGCACTGGTGCCATGCCAATGTGATTGGCGTTACCTGTGAGTTTCAGGATGTCTGGTGACCATCAAAAGTTTCTCTAGATCTGCAGTGGTTCCAATTTCTGCAGAGTCTTTTTTGGTAACAGTGACTTTACAGAGATGCCAATAATCAGTTTCTGCTTTACTCTGGGCTGGCTGCTCTGATAGAGCCTTTTTAAAATTGGATGATTAGATGCTCTGGCCAGTGTGACTCAGTTGGTTGGGCATCATCCAGTGCACTGAAAGGTTGCTGGTTTAATTCTGGGTCAGGTTGTGGGCTTGATCCCTGGTAGGGGGCATGCAAGAAGCAGCTGATCTTCACTTTTACATCAATTACGCTTTTCTCTCCCTTCCTTTCTATCTAAAAATATTTAATTAAAATATCTTTAAAAAATTAAATTGGTGTATTAGGTAGGACTAGAATATCATCTCACTGTCCTAGGTGTGGTGCATATTGTCTGAATAGTATACCTGAAAGAACAAGGGTCTATGAGATTAGATCTTTTTCAAGTGTAAGTTTCTTGTCTTATCTCTGTTTTCTTCTTCTGCAGGAGACATGGTTTTCATGAAGCAAGTGTGACCCTGAAGTCGAGCCTTGCAGCACAGCCTGACACCCAACTGGGCAGGGAGAGCACCATGGATGGCATAATTGAACAGAAGAGTATGCTGATGCACAGCAAAATTAACAATGCTGGCAAGAGGAATGGCTTAATTAATACCAAAACCTTTATGTCTGAGAACAGAGATGGCCTGGTGTCTCTTTACCCAGCACCCCAGTACCAAAACTGCCGGCTGGTGGGCAGTGAAGCATCAGCCACCCTGGATGACAGCATGAATGAGTCAGTCCAGCAGCTGCTGGACCCCAACACCCTTCAGCAGTCAGTGGAGTCCCACTACCATCCCAACATCATCCTCTACTCGGAGAGCATGCTGCGTTCCTGGAGGGATGGCATGGCTGCTGACTGCTGTGAGACCACATTCACTGAAGATCAATCACCCACCAGAGAGAGCCTGGAGTACCTTGATGGAAAGTTTATTGACCTCTCAGCTGATGACATCAAAATCCACACCCTCTCGTATGATGTGGAAGAGGAAGAGGAATTCCAGGAGCTGGAGGTCAGAGGATATATTTCTCATAGGCTTTTGGGAATGAAATGTGGTGATTTGGTGGTAAGCCATGAGTGCCTGGAAAAAAATCAGGAATGAAACTCGTGTGAGGAAATGCAGAGAAACTGAAGCATATTTGGTGCCCCTTAGCATTTTAATATTGGTAAAAGATGGGAGGAGTGGAGAGAGACTAAATGATCATGATCCATTTAGGGCTTCACCAGGGATTCTGATAAAAAATGACCTAAGGTAAAAGCTGTGGGGATGGAGTACAGGTGTATATAAATTTTGCCATCACTAGCATGTCACTTGAGGACTTCCCTTAATATCCTACCGACAGGAAAGAGAGGTCATTAGCAAAAGTGAGCAAAGTGAGAGAAGGGAATGTGGTACTAGCGCAACAAAAGGCTAAAAATGCATGTGTGGTGACAACTGGAGAAGTATTTCTGTTGCCACACAGGCAAGGTTTCCTTGTGTGGAAACTAAGGGATCGCTGGTATAGCTAAAACCTGCTGGAAGAAGTACTAGAATTGATAGCCTAAAGGGAGGGTGAGTGAAATTTTTGCAAGAGTCACTTTTTCAGTAGACTAGAAAGCAGATAAGGGCTTTTGGGTTACATTCTTAGAAACATTCACATTGACATGGTGCAACATGCACAACAGCCTCTGGCTGTATAGCTTATTCCTTCCCCTTTGATAAAGCCTCACATATGTAAGGGTAAAAGTGAATTGCACAGATCTAAACAAAAGCCATGTTTGTCAACTAAGAGTTGACACCAGAGGCTGGAAAAGAAGAACCAGATTTCCTGGGAAAGGCTGAAGAAAGCAAAAACAAAGAGATTCAATGTAGAATAAGACCCATAACCTTCGGGCCTCAGACTAGGTAGAAAGCTAGTAAATTTACAAGGTACTGATTGGCCAAGACCAGAAGTGTCAGGATTGGAGGTAAAATGAAATCCAGAAGCAGCTGGAAAGAGATGTTCTTTTTTTTTTAATTGAATTTATTGGGGTGACATTGGTTAACAAATTTATGCAGATTTCAAGTGTACACTTCTATCATACATCATATGTATATTGTACTGTGTGTTTACCACCCCAAGTTAATTCTCCTTCCTTCACCACTTATATCCTCTTTACCTTCCTCTCCCTCCCTCCATTCTACCTTCCCTCTGGCAATCACAATACTGTTGTCTGTGTACATGAATCTTTCTTCTTATTTTTTTTTGTTTATCCCTTTACCCTCTCACCCAGTCCCAAACACCTCCCCTATGACAGCTATCAGTCTGTTCTCTGTATCCATGAATCTGTCTTCATTTTTTGGTTAATTTTGTACATTAGATTCCATATATAAGGGAAAAAAATCTCAGACATTTCTAGTAGCAATATTTGTTCTACTACATCACCCCTGGCAAGGGAAACAAAAGAAAAAGTAAACAAGTGGGATTACATCAAACTAAAGAGTCTTTGCACAGCAAAAGAAAATATCAACAAAATGAAAAGGGAACCCACTGTATGAGAGAACATATTCGCCGATGATACATCTAATAAGAGGATAATTTCTAAAATATATAAATAACTTATAAAATTCAACACCAGGAAAACAAGCAATCCAATTAAAAATGGGCAAAGAACCTGAAAAGACACTTCTCCAAAGAGGACATAGAGATGGCCACTACACACAGGAAAAAAATGCTCAAGGTCACTAATTGACAGAGAGATATAAATTAAAACCACAATGAGATATCACCTCACACATCAGAATGGCTATCATCAATAAAGCAACAAACAACAAGCACTGGTAAGGATGTGGAGAAAGGGGCACCCTCATGCGCTATTGGTGAGAATGAGGTTTTGGATAGCCACTGTGGAAAACAGTATGGATATACCTAAAATTTTTGAAATGGAACTGCCTTATGATCCAGCAATTCCACTGGGAATATATCCAAAGAATCATAAAACCTTAATCTGAAAAAATATATGCACCCCTATGTTCATTGCAGCATTATTTATAATAGCTAATCTGTGGAAGTAGTAGCCCAAATGCCCATCAGTAAGTGAGTGGATAAAAATGCTCTTGTATAGTTAGACATTGGAATGCCTCTCAGCTATTAAAAAAAAAAAGGAAAAGGAAAATTTTGCCCTGGCCGGTTTGGCTCAGCGATTAGAGCATCGGCCTGTGGTCCAGAGAGACCCGGGTTCAGTTCCCGCTAAGGGCATGTACCTCAGTTGCAGTTTGTCCCCAGCCCTGGTTGGGTTGTGTGGGTGGCAACCACTCGATGTGTCCCTTTCATGTCAATGTTTGTCTCTCTCTCTCTCTCTCTCCCCCCCACTCTATCTGAACAAAATATCAAAAAATGTCCTCGGGTGAGGATTAACAAAAAGAAAAGTTTAAGCTTACCTTTTAGGACAGCATGAATGGACCTGGAGGGTATTGTGCTAAGTGAAGTAAACAAGTTGAGAAAGATGTTTTAGTCAGAAGAGAAATTCTGAAATGGAAAAATAAAAAGTGATGTGGCAATCCCAATGCAGCTGAAAACAAAGTGACAGGTAGTGAAGAGAAGTTGTTGGAGTAGGAAGACTATCCAAGGAGATCTTTACCCTGTTTGATGACACCAGTTAAGGGACGAGAAGGGTGTGAGCTCTGGCAATGCTAAAGTTTTGAGAAAGTTGGGAGAGTTCTTTGGCTTCTATTCAAAAGCATCTGTTAAGTGTCTGCTCTTTCCCCAGGTCTGAGATTTCTGCTGAAAGCAAAAGTATAAATGATGCTTATCTGCATAAAGTTTAGGAAGCAGATAGGCAAAAGTGCAATTTCACTATAACACAGGAGTTATTATGATAGACAACCCAATCTGCTCTGAGAGCATCTAAAGGAGGGGAAGCGGCTTCTGCACTGGCTCTTGAGGAGGAGAATTGGACTGTTGGGCAAGGCTTGTATGGAGGTGGTGGGAGAATTTCAATCCAAGGGGACATTTTGAGCAGATAAAACATGGAGACATCCAACTTAGATCTACAGGGAATACTCACAAGTTAGAATTGAAAAGACCTATGGATCATGGAGAGGTCTTGGAGAAAGGATCTAAAAGAAGTGTGGTCAATCACTGAAGGCCTTACCAATATTCTAAGGAAGATTGGATTTTAGGTGAGTAGCGACAACACAGAAAGGATGAACAGGTAACAGAGTCAAGAAAGCGCCCTATGGGGAGATGGAGCATGAGACTAGAAAGCCCAAGACCATCTATAACTTCAGCCCTACTGAGGATTTTACTGTGCCACACCACACAGGCCATGCTGTTGGACACCCTGATGGCTACCTGGGAGTACAGAACCACTGAGGGATTTAAGACAAGATTATGGTCAGATCTGCGTTTCTGAAAGCTGCTCTGGCTGCAGAGTGGGATAAGAGTGTAAGGGAAATGGAGGTGAAAGAGGAGGTGGCATGGGGCTAGGACAAAATTAGATGCACCGAACCTCTTGGGGGCCTATTGTAAGGGCTGGTAAAAGATAATCAGAGCAAACTGACAGACCTCAGAGGCAAGAGGGTGTGGAGGTGGGAAGAAATAAACCAATGGACACAGACAGTAATGCAGTAGTCGGTGGATGGGTGTGGGAGCAGAAAGGACAGTGGGGGATGGAGGGGAAAAGGAAGGACATCTGTAATACTTTCAACACTAAAGAAATATTTTTTTAAAAGTGAGTAAGTACTTAAAAAGTAAAATAGGTCATTGTTTGGAGATGATGTAAAAGAATGAGTTAGGCCTCTCTTTTTTTTTTTTTGTTAATTGAATTTATTGAGTTGACAATAGTTCACAAAACCATACTGGTTTCAAGTGTACAACTCAATAAAACATTATCTGCACACTAAATCATATACCTATTGCCCCAAGCAAAGTTTCTTTCGGTTCTCATTCCCTCCTACTTTTGTTCACCTCCACCTAGCCCCCCACCCCTTTCCTTCTGGTATCACCACACTGTTGTCTATGAAGATGTTGTCTATGTTGTTATGAAGGTGAAGGGATTAACCAAAAAACATATATTCATAGACCTCTCTTGTACAAAGATGTTTCTAGTTCCCTAAGTGGCCAAGAAAGAATTTTCAGTTTTTTAATGAATTTTTGGAAAATCAGCTTTAATATATAATATCTACCAGCAGCAAAAAGTTATGAATAGTTTGTAGGTTGAAAATGTAAAAGAGCCCAGCCTTTGTGGCTCACTGGGTGAGCACTGACCCATGCACCAAGAGGTCACCAGTTCAATTCTAGCCCAGGGCATACCCAGGTTGTGGGCCCAATCCCTAGTGGAGAGCATACAGGAGGTGGCCAATCACTGTTCTCTCTCATTGATGTTTTTCATTTTTTTCCCCCTCCCTTCCTCTCTCTCTAAAATCAATAAAGAAAAAAATATTTTTTTAAAAAAAGAAATTCTTCAATATGTACATCATTCTTTTGTCACTTGTTATGCCCATATGTTTTATATCTACATCCATGAATAAGTACATTATGCCAACCTCAATGGAGATGAATAGGTGGTTAGCATATCTTGTTAGTCCTCAGTTTATGTTCATTCTATGGCTTTATAATTCAAAATAATTTTATTCCTTTTTAACACTTTGCAAGGGCTTCTGATTGAGCTTGCTAATAAATACAACCTATATTTAAATACAATTTTTTTCTAATCCATATTTTTAGCAGTTAACTGAATTCATGTGTTGCAATAATTTTCACAGGATGACCTCAGCCAGTAGATGTGGGTTTTGGAATTGTATGAAGATTCAATACCAAGACAAAGACAATTTTTTATTTTTGTACTTTTTTTTTTTCTTCAAATCTTTATTTTTGGATGTAAAATGTATTACAGATGTTCCACATTTTTCCCCACTCCCGGCCCCCTCCCACCTTTTCCCACACTATTGTCTGTGTCCATTGGCTATGCATATAAGTTCTTTGGTTTATTTCTTTCCACCCCTCCAACCCCTTTCCCTTTGAGGTTTGTCAGTCTAGCAATGAATTTGTG